ATAGCTAAAATTTGTGCCTCTAAACAATGGTGACCTATTTGATAATTGTCCCTCAGGTAAGAAATAACTAGGGATTGCCATGATCTACTTTAAGACGGTTGAGTTACATAAACTAGAGTCTAGGCTCAAATACCAATTGTTATCCCAGATAGGCAACCCAAGAGAGTGTTGAATTGAGTTATTAAAAATTTTACAATATTAAAAACACAATATTCAAAATTTTAACAAATACAAAACAGAACAACAATTATCAATATAAAAGTAAAAAAGATAGGGAGAGAAAATCAAACACTGAGATTTACACTAGTTCGGCACGCTAGGCCTACATCCACTCCCTAAGGAATCTCCTTAAGAATTTCTTTACTATCAAAATGAATCAATACACTGGGGGTGTTTGTTTCAGCTTTTCAGAGCCAGCTTATGACTTTTAGCTTTGAAAAAGTTATTTTGGACTGTTTGGTTAAACTTATTTCAAACAGTTTCTGATTCTAACAGCTTATTTTAACTCAAAAAAGCTGATTCTGAGAAGCTGCTCACCCCTTACTTCTGATTATCAGCTTCTGCTGTGGACATGTTAATTTATGGTTATACTCTTAATTTTTTTATTTTTTATTTTTTTAAAAATAGAAAAAGACTCAAATAGACTATAGATTATTATTTTTTTTTATGAGAAATGTAGACAAATAAAAAATAAAAAATAAAAATTAATTGAAAAAGCTATTTCACAGCTTGTTTAATAAACACTACTCAGCAACTTAAATCTATAATCCAACAGTTACACCAAACAGATTAACAACTTCTGATTAAAGTCATAATCTATAATCTGTTAAGCTATAATTTATAAGCTGTTTTAACAGTTACACCAAACGGAGCCACTACCAAGGCTTCACCATGCTTATGGATTTTCCACAAGTCTTACTTTTATTTATTGAGTCTCACTCAACAATAAATGCCTTACTTTTACAAAAATTTCTTACAAAATAATAATAAGAGGTACTTTAATCCTCTTTTACAATACTTTGCTCACAAAAAGTAGATATGAAAGTATAAGAACAAAGACAACACTTAGATCTGAAAAGTGAAAGAGCATAATACAATACACTCAAAATTTTAGAGCACACAGATTTTTTTTCTTCAAGTTCTTAATTTTTTTCCATACATAACACTTTTATTTATACCTAAAAATATACCCGTTGGAGGTAGGACGCTCCTTGCTGACGTTATGGATTACATGGGCACGCTCCTTGATAAACAAAAGGCATCTATTTTGGTTTTTAATGAATACACCATGTGTCACCTTTTTCTTTGTCAATCTTTACACATTTTTTTTTTGTTTCTCATTTCTTTGACAAACTTTTGCAAGCAAATCACCAAGATGTTCAATTCACACTTTTGAATATAATATCATATATATATATATATATATATGTCAAGGATGTATTGTTGGTAAATAATAATCTAACATAAATTAAATATAAGAGTTTACAAGTATGCAAAAATGCAAGCCTATTTCTTTAATAACTAAAACAAGAAATAACATGATAACATAGTTAATCCCTCACTAAGCTTGAACCTCTCATTAGTTAAAATATTCTCACAAATCAAATCATCCTTGATAACCAGAGTTCAAACTAGTCTACAATCTTCCTACGTAGCTAAACATAACGTCCATGCAGTTGTTATTGCTGAAAATGGTTTTAGAAAATTCTTATTTTTTGTTAACTTTGAGTATTAATTAAGATGAAATCTAAGCGTTATTTTTAATTTTTTTCATTGGGTTCGTATTTAATGCTGCGTGGTAAATAAAATCATGTATTTGGTTACTCAAACTATTTCTGGATGAATGAGAATTCAATATGTATTTTCGGGTTCGTGGAATGACTTTAGGTGGGTTTCCTACACATTTGTGAAATTTGCTTGTCTTACATTGGAAAAGCTTAAGGTTTTGAATGAGTTTATATACCTTACCTTGGGATACTTTGAATGGGCCCCAATGGGTAACCAAGTTTGTGAAAAGGTGAGGTTATGGGTAAAGTGAACTAGACTTATTGGATCCAAAACAAAATCGCGCACCACCGTCTGTCTGGTCATGCGAGTTGGGCTTAGGCGCAAGTACGTGGTGTGAGGTTGGGTTGGGCTTGTCCAGTCTAATACTTATCTTTTTGAGCCAAAAACTTTTGTAATTTATTTATTTATTTTTAAATTTACTTTTTAAATTCATTTAAACATGATAAACTTTAAAAGTAAAACTTTTTGATATAATTTTTATAAAAATAATATTTAAAAAAAAAATGACTTCTTTTGAAATTTCCAAACAGTCTCTAGGCTTGCAAGCTCAACTTACCTTAGTTCATTATGTTTATAAATAAGTTTAGGTCAAATTTATAAATAAGTTTAGGTCAAATTTTTCAGAATCGTTCAATGAAGGTATCTAACTTGAGTGGGATAATCTCGACTTCATTATTATTTATTTAAATAATAAAATAAATATATTGAAGCCGTTTGGAAAGAAAAAAATTGGGCTTTTTTAGTTAAAATAGTTATAAAAAAATAAAATAGGCTTTTTAACTCAATAAGACAAAACATTACATCCAATCCATAATCATTACATTCTTTCTCTTACAAAAAAGCCAAAAGTCTTTCCCAAACAAAACTTTTTAGTCTCAAACTAAAATAGCTAAAAAAGTTAAAAAAGCCAAAAAATTAACCCACTTCCCAAACAAACCCATTATATATTAAATAATGTAAAATGTGTTATATATGTATACAGTAATGTAAAATAATATTTAACAAGCCAATTGAGTTTGATTATCAAATCAAATTTATTATTTATTATCAAGTTCGGAATCGAGTATGATTAGTTTTAACAAGCCGATCAACCTTGATTATCAAGTAAATCCTCATTTTGCACCTAGTTAAAAAAAAGAATAAATTATTAATAGATCCTACTAATTATACTTAATTTTCATTAAGTCATATTGAAAATAAGTTATAGTAAAATTGTCGTTAAAAATAATTTTTTGTGACGATTTTTTGTATATATCACTAAAAATTGATAATTAGTGATTTCTTTATTACAATTTTTATAAATTGTCACTAAAATTTACAATTAGTGACGTTTTTCTTTTAAACTGTCGCTCAAAATTAAAAATTATAAATTTTTTTTGTGAGAATTTTTAAACTATCATTAAAATTTATAGTTAGTGACTTTTTTGTGACAAAATTTTCAAACTATTGGTGAAACTTAACAATTAGTGGCGTTTTTTAAATAGTGTTTGATGAAAAACGCCATTAATTCTCACATGACAGATTGAACAATAAATCTATATATTAGACCTACACATAAGTCCCCATTAAAAAAATCCTACTATTTTAGTATTTTTTTTAAATTTTTGTGTGAAAATTTTTAGTATAGTATGAATCTAAAGTAAAATTTTTTTTTTTAAAAGTTCATTGAAAATAAATAAATTTACTCTTTTTTAGTTTTTTTTTTAATTTTATTTTAAGTTAGAGGATTGTTTTTAGAAAATAATTGATATAATCAAGTAAATTCTAAGGGAAATTACAAAAAAAAAAAAAAGAAGAAGAAGAAGAAACACCCTACAATTAAACCGTTTTAAAAAAATAAAACTCCAAATTTTCAATTTTACCAATTCACACTCTAAAATTGATGAGAAAAATATATTTTAGCTATTGAATTTAATATAACTTTACATAAAATATATATATATATACAGTAATGTAAAATAATATTTAACAAGCCAATTGAGTTTGATTATCAAATCAAATTTATTATTTATTATCGAGTTCGGAATCGAGTATGATTAGTTTTAACAAGCCGATCAACCTTGATTATCAAGTAAATCCTCATTTTGCACCTAGTTTAAAAAAAAGAATAAATTATTAATAGATCTTACTAATTATACTTAATTTTCATCAAATCATATTGAAAATAAATTATAGTAATTGTCGTTAAAAATATTTTTTTGTGACGATTTTTTGTATTTGTCACTAAAAATTGATAATTAGTGATTTCTTTATCACAATTTTTATAAATTGTCACTAAAATTTACAATTAGTGACGTTTTTCTGTGACAAATTTTTTAAACTGTCGCTCAAAATTAAAAATTATAATTTTTTTTTGTGAGAATTTTTAAACTACCATTAAAATTTATAGTTAGTGACTTTTTTTGACAAAATTTTCAAATTATTGTTGAAACTTAACAATTAGTGGCGTTTTTTAAATAGTGTTTGATGAAAAACGCCATTAATTCTCACATGACAGATTGAACAATAAATCTATATATTAGACCTACACATAAGTCCCCATTAAAAAAATCCTACTTTTTTAGTATTTTTTTAAAATTTTTGTGTGAAAATTTTTAGTATAGTATGAATCTAAAGTAAAATTTTTTTTTTTAAAAGTTCATTGAAAATAAATAAATTTACTCTTTTTTAGTTTATTTTATTTTATTTTATTTTAAGTTAGAGGATTGTTTTTAGAAAATAATTGATATAATCAAGTAAATTCTAAGGGAAATTACAAAAAAAAAAAAAAGAAGAAGAAGAAGAAACACCCTACAATTAAACCGTTTTAAAAAAATAAAACTCCAAATTTTCAATTTTACCAATTCACACTCTAAAATTGATGAGAAAAATATATTTTAGCTATTGAATTTAATATAACTTTACATAAAATGTCTAATTTACTTTTTTTTTTTTGAGTTTAATAATTAAAATATATTTTGTTCATTGATTTTAATGAAAATAGATAGATCGTTTAGATTAAGAATAAATAAAAAATTTAAATTTAAATTAACAAAATTGAAATTTTATTTTGTTATGAAAATCAAATTCTCAATTTTTTGTTGTAATTTTCCTCAATTTTGAAAAGTGTAAAAAAAAAAATTAAAATAATCAAGAAAAAACACCTCTTAAAAAAAAAAACAATCCCAAACCACCTCTAAAAAGCATTTGATGTTTTGTCACCAAAAACCCCCCATTCTACTGTTAATCGCAGGGATAATCTCGTAGTTTCAGTTAAGCAGCTTCACACACACACACACTCTCTCTCTCTCTCTCTCCCTCTCTCTCTCATTTCAGGGCTTCGCTTTGCCATCAATGGCTGCCTTAGAGATCGCCAAAGCCAAAGCATCGAGTCTACGATACGCATTTGGAAATGTTCTCTCATTCCTCATCCTCCTCCTCATCGGACTTCTCGCGTTTTCGATCCGACTCTTCTCTGTAACCACTCATACAATCATCTTCAACGTTCTTTTCATACTTATTTCTGTGTCCTCCTTTATTTGCATACATTTACTGGATACGATCGTTCAATGATAGTCAAAATGCGTAGTCTGTCGTATGAATTTTGTTTCAGGTTATAAAGTACGAGAGTGTGATTCATGAGTTCGATCCTTATTTCAATTACAGAGTGACTCAGGTTTCATTTCTATAAATATTATCTACTTCTCTTTTTCTTTTTTCTTTTTCCCTTTCTTTCTTCCATTGAACTGAGTTGAGAATGTAAAAGCATCAATTTTGAGTTTGTATGTTGATGATTGTGACCAAAGTATCCAATTTTGTATAATTGAGGAGTTTTGAGGAAAAAGAAAATGTGGGAATTCCTGAAATTGTACATACAATGACTAGTAATTTTCAAGTTTGGTAAAAGTAGGAATTCATTCACTTTGTTTCCCTTGGACCTCATAAAAGGGTAATGAATTGAATTTCATGTGTACAGATTCGTTAGCGCGCACTTGTGCTTACCACTTATTAGAAATCATGCGAACTTTGTGTGAAAACTATAAAAAAAACAATTGTGAAAGAGTCAAATGTGGTAAAAAAATATAATTGGGTTTAGTACTTTGAATGGTTGTATTTTGAGAAAAACTTGAAAACCTCGAAACTGGCTTTCATCTTCCTCTTCAAATTTATAGCCTATGTTACCCTTGGAAATTACCAAAATCAATTCAGTGATTTTTGCATATGAGTTAATTACTTCAAGAAATTTTTAATGATAATGTAATTCCTTGCAAATTCAGCTATCCACTTTATGCTATGCTATGCTTGTCAGATAAGTAGATAGGAATGGATGCGATATAACTTATAAGGTTTGTCTAAGTTTTCTAAATTCATGAATTGGATGAACATTTGAGTTTTAACTACTGCAAACAACAGTTTAAAAAAAAAAAAAACTGCTACGAGTTAAATAAACTAATGGGATGCTCAAGTTTGGATAATTTGAATACCTCTTGTAAATAGTTTAATTCGTTTTCCACCATGAGGATCCGCACCTGCAGCTGACATACTGAAAGAGCTGTGGCTCTATTCCAATTTCTTACTCCCTTTCAATCGCATTTAGGAGGACTTCAGTTTAATAAATTTAGAAATTTTTGCTTATAAAAAAACTGGAATATCCCTTCCTGCCAAATCAGAAGTATATTAGCATGTATGTTGATGGCATTCATATGGTCAGGTGGTTATGGAGGTGGAATTTATATTCTCTAGCCCATAAAGTATTTGGTAGCTAATTGTGTAATATAATTTATTGAAACTTGTGCAGTTTGTATCGAGTTATCTTATCTAGTGCGTGCTTCACTTCATTTAATTATTTTGCAATAATTTTAAAGCATATTGAAGATGACAAGAATGTTTTGATTTCAGTATCTCATAAAGAATGGAATATATGACTTTTGGAATTGGTTTGATGACCGGACGTGGTAATTTTTATTCAAGTGGTTGATTAGTTTGTTTGACAAAACTCCTGTGTACTTATTCTACTATAGGTTGTTGTTTAATGAATGTAAAGTGACACTGCATATTTGACATGTTCTAAGGTATCCTCTTGGACGTGTGATTGGTGGAACTGTATACCCTGGATTGACATTGACAGCAGGCACCATGTGGTGGTGTGTATTTAAGATTGTGAGATTAAGGACATTAGTTTTCATTGTGTTCTTTGCTAAATGAGTGAATTCTGTAAATTTGGTTTTCCTAATACTACAAAACAATCAGAAGGGTGAACGTGAGTGAGTTTTGCTGTAGTTATTTTTGATACTTTTTTTTTTTTTCTCATGGCAGGATACTGAATTCTTTGAATATTCCTCTATCATTGGAAACCGTTTGCGTATTTACGGCTCCAATATTCTCGGCTAATGCTGCATGGGCAACCTATCTGCTAACAAAGGTTCACTTTCCGGCTAGATTTATTTGTGCTTTGGAACATGTTATTATTTTTATTTTTGTTATTATTTTTGATATGTTGGAACATGTATTTTATAACCTTATAGTGGTATATATATGTTGTTTTTACTGTGAATTTTCTACAAACTGATATTTGTCAATCTTGTTCAATTGCCCTTCATGTAGGAAGTTAAGGGCACTGGTGCTGGACTGACTGCAGCAGCTCTTTTGGCTATGGTAAATTATATACCGGGTATTTTTACCTTTATTTATTTTTATTCATTTTATGGAATTTTGACTTTGAGCAGCAGTTTCCAACATATAGCATGCATGTTCTTCTTTTTTATTTTATTTTAGTTTGTGTTTTTAAATAACATGCCCCCTCTGTTATATCAAATTATATATTTAATATACATTCTGTTACGTATCCCCAAATATATATTTTTTTTGAAGTTAGTAAATGACGTATAGGCAGAGGAAATTTACTTAATAGTTTGTTTGATTATGCCTTGTTAGTCTATAGTTAACTTCCTGCGCTATCATACCTTTTTTAAATTCCTTGGGTTTTGTTTAGTTTCATGGTTCCATTAAACTTATACTAGCCATAGAATTTGAAACGACTCTGCAGTTTGGAATAATATGAAGTACCTTTAGATAATCATTTCGTTAGAATTTGGTGTGTTGCCAAGATTTTGAAAAGTGGTTGCAATTGCCGTAATGGTTGCGGTGACGCAGTAGCGGTTGAGGGGTGTAAAGGTCATAGCGTAACAGTTGCGGTAATTGGAACCGTGATTTTTTTTTTGGGCACAATTTCAAGAAAACTTACTGATACACATATATATATGTATATTTTTTTTTCTTCCAAAATCACATTTATTGGGATTTGAAATAAATTTTGATCAATTTTTGTTAATTTTTAAATATGATCCAATATATTTCATATTTTCAAATCACTATAAAAGGAGCTTTTTACATTTTATTTCAATAGTTAATGATTTTAAGAATAATTTATTTTAAATGTTTACAAATTATTTTTTACCAATACCTGAACTAACTAAATAAAAAATATTCACAATTATTAAATGCAGGATTATAAAATAAAAATTGTGCCATAAATTAAAAAAAAAAAATTTTCATATAAAATTTTTTCTTTGGGTTTGGATCATTTGAGCATTTGTTCTTTTTTTGTAAACTTTTATTTATTTATTTTTTTGAAAAATGAAGTTATTCAGAATATTGTAAAAGGGTGTAACGGAGTCTAATGGACAGTTACGGCCGTTACACAACACCGAAATGGCTATTGCACATGTGAATTTCCGTCACACCGCTGTAGCAGCCGTAACAGATGGTGGTAACTACCATAACCGTTACGTAACGTTACGTAACGTTTGCGGCCGTTTTTTAAAAACTTGTGTGTTGCTAATGATTAGATGCTTACGACCAAAGAATTTATAGCGATCCCGGGTTTACCCTTGTTGTACAGTGATCCGGACATGTGTCCGTGGATGTTGGTAGTTGTTTATTATCTTGTTTACATCCTTTCTTACTTTGTATTTGAGTTATAGGATGTGTTGGGCGGGTTGGTTTCAGGATTGGTTGAGTTTAGAAACCAAAACTAGTTGCCCAGATTTTTGGCCTGTCCGCTCGAGCGGAGGTGTTGGCGCTCGAGCGGGGAAAAAAAAAAAAAAAAAAAAAAAAAGAAAAGAAAGGGGGGTTCCTAGAAAATGGGTCGCAATTTCACAGCGTTTTCTTCATCTGCTTTCCCTGACTTGACTATGTACTTCCCAGCTCTTTCCTCATTCATATCATATCCAAGGAATGTTTCTATTCATTATTCTCGACCTGCAATGACTTCTCATTTCTCCGATCAAACACAGGGTTTGGATTTTTTATTTTTAATTTTTCCTGGAGCGATCCTACTGATACGCAATCAAGGACCTTCTATTCTATCTAGTAAGTTATCATCCTCTCTCACTCAAGCTGACTTGTAAACTCACTCTTTTTTTCTTTTTCTTTTTTAAAGTAATAAATTAACAGTGTTGAATTCTATTGTAATAAACTGCAAGAGAGGAAATTATTAGTAGTGGTTGGTTTTGAATCAAATGTCTGGATGTATAAAAAAAGTTATGAGGATGTGGAATTATCATAAGATTTATATTTAAAATTCTATTTATCCCTTTTATTCTAGGAGTCTTTCTCATCAATTTTTTCTCTTGTGAATGCAACAACTCAGGGTGAAAGTAGTAGATAATTTTTGGGAAAATTCTTGAATTTACACAGGTCTTGTATCTGAAAGTGTTATCTAGTCTGTCTGTCAATTTTGATGGGAAATAAATATATGGAGGGAGGAGAAACTTGACTTCAATTCCTAAATTTGTGAACCATGGTGGATTGCCCTTTAAATCTGATTGTGTAAGAGAAATTGTAGCTAAATGGGATTAAAGATATAAAATATCCCTTATTGAATAGTTCAACCATATTTTGATGCTTGTTTTATTCAACTCATCTTAAGCTCGATTTGAGAGGGAGATAATTGTATGAGACTAACCAAGAAATCAAGCTATTAGAGCTTGGTTTTTTATGGGCTCGAGTAGAATCTTGCATGAGATCATTGATGCGATAAACTAGTAAACCTCAATCTTCATTTTATATCTCACCAATTTTTCTAATCAAGCTTGAGCAGAGTATTGTTTTCATTGAACAATTTTGAAGAGTCTAAAAAAGGATAACCTTATGATTATCAGAATCCCAACCCAGATCTTACGATCCATTTGGGCACAATCGATCCAGATCGTGTAAAAAATCCCTTATAGGTAGGATCATTCTATCTTGATAATGGGATCTTATAGAATTGTGGGGTCCCAATCTGAATTCGATCCAATTTGTAAGCCTTGTTTTGTATTGTATAATATATTTTATTGTAAATTTTATGTTTGTTGTCTAAATATTAATTTTTGTGGTCCAAATGAATATTAAAAAAAAAAAATTGCATTGAATCAAATAAACAAACTACGAAACAAATATTTAATATAATACCAATTTAAGAAAACTAAGCAGTCGGAATAAAAAACTTAGTTTTAGTGGGGTGGGGTGTATAAGAAGGATAACATGATTGCAACTTTACCCCAATTTTTGGAGAGGCAATTTTCGTGACTTGAACCCGCTCCACTAGGAATGCTAATGACAAATCTTATTATTCGGTTAAGCGGCTGATTTGACTTCTCAATTTATTTTCATATCCAATTTTGTTAAATATTATTTTTTCACTTTTTATGCATATTGTAGATTACAAAGTATTATGTTATAGAATTCTTCTTCTTCACCTTCTTTTTTAATCAAATGCAAAATTTTTGCTATTAAGTTTTCTATTGTATAATATTATATTTACATTTTACATGGAGAATTATATTTTTCATAATATCTTCACTTCTTTTTAGTAGAATATAGTCTTGTTTCGTATATATTTTTTAAGAAATGTTTATTTAAATTAAATTATTACATAATTTACCTTTTTCAGTAGGATCTTACGATCCTCGATCCGATTCTACGATCCGATCCTATAAACACCTCCAACGATCCAATGTAGGATCCCGATTTTAACAACCTTATGTCCCTTTAATTTAATAATTTTTTTGTAGGGGACACGGCATGGGGCATAGCGGGGCTATTTCTTTTCTTTTTTTCTTTTGTCTCTCTTATTTAGTGCTTTTGTGAAGAATATTGTTGGATGTTGAATGTTTTCCCCTTCTCGTCTTAGTTCTTGTTATTGTTTATTATGATTTTTTTGTGAATGGAAGATCTATTAATTTGTTTAAATATAGTGGTTATATTTATTGAATTAATATTACTATGGTAGTGTTTGTTAACTTTGATTTAAGATGAATGTAATATAAATCTACATAACACATAAAAATAAATAAAATAAAATTCGCCATGTCCCCCGCCGTGTCCATGTCCCCATTTTTTGGTAATTGCCGTGTCCCGTGTCCGTGTCCATGTCCGTATCTGTATCCGTATCCGTATCCGTGCTTCATTGATAGACCATAACATTTTACTTGATGTTCTTTGTCCTGGTATTTTCTGCAGGTTCCGTCCTATATATCTCGATCTGTGGCCGGCAGCTATGACAATGAAGCTGTAGCTATATTTGCTTTAATCTTCACTTTCTATCTATATATAAAGGTTAGATTTTGATATGGTCAATGCATCATTTCCCCTTTGGTTCTATAGTTCCTACTCAAATGAACTTCTGTCAGTATCCATTTTATTGGATAATAGTTTGACCTTCTTTTATTTCTCTCTCATGTTTCTTTTTTTCAAAAATCTTACCTAAACCATTGTCGTATATTCTGACATTCATTGCTCATAACATGCAGACATTGAACACAGGATCTCTCTTTTATGCCACTTTAAATGCCCTAGCATACTTTTACATGGTAGGCTTTGTTTTTCTAATGTTCACTTTATACATCTAATTCAAATTATGTTTATCAGCTTATTGTTTCCTCTTTCAGGTTTGCTCTTGGGGAGGGTATACCTTTATTATTAACCTTATTCCAATGCATGTTCTTCTGTGCATTGTAACTGGTTGCTATTCTTCTCGGCTTTACATTGCGTATGCTCCACTTGTAAGTATCTGGACACACTCATGAAGCTTGGATGGCAGTCAAAAACAATTGATGCATGAATTTTAGCATGAACACTATAGAATGCATGTTGCTACTTTTAAAGCTTGGAAAAGAGAAGACTCGAATGGAACAAATGTGGTTTAAGAAAGCTCAATTTCACAAATGTGGGTTGTTTGCAATTTACAAGAATTTTGACGAAATGTGGGAGGGTTTGGTTGGGGGGCAGATGGATTGGGACATGCAAAGATATAGAGGGTGCGAAAAGACTTTGTCCAGCCAAAAGCAGATGTAAACCTTAGTGGTGTGTGCATGCAAAAAGAGGCTGCCATTAATGGTTTATCAACTTTAATCATTCCATATCCGTCATTTGCCTTGAATTAAAATTTTATCTTGATTTTTCTTTTTATTTATTAATGGGTTGGTTGGGGCTTCAGTTATAAGATTTTGTTTTATTTGTGAACAGTGGTGGCTCCAAATGTTTTTTTCAGGGTAGACATTTATTATTGTTTGGAAGCATTAATAGGCTTTTTTTTTTCTTTTTTTTGTCTTTAACTCTTTTAATTAGGTTTTCTTTAATTTTTATGAAGAACTTTTTTTTTCCAAAATCTGAAAAAAAATTTAATTTAATTGACAAAATAACTTTTTAAGATGCTTATTTCATTTTTTGTAGATGTTTTTATTATTTATTATTCCTTTAAATTTTTAAATTTTTAGGGTCTTTTACTCTAAAAATTCCTAAAAATGTAAAACAATGAAGAAATTTTGAAAAACATTACTGAAGACCAAAAAAAAAGATTTAAAAATTTGTTTTTTTGAAGTAGAGCTAAAAGTTATAAAAAAATTTTTTTTACTAATAACATAAACAAAATCACACTTACCAATATGTATCATTTTTTTTCAACAAATTCACAAGTTTAAACTTCTCAAATCATAAATAAAAGAGAATTTTAATATATGAATGCTATTTTTTTTGACAAAAAACATGTAGAATCTTTTAAATTTGGTCAAAGAGCGATTAAACAAATCTGAAGATCCAAAATCTCAAAATGTGTATATTTATAAGGGAAACATACCTGAGATATCAACTGTACTTGATAAATCCTTTAACAGTCCACTATCAACCGCCAAGCTGTTCAATGTCTTCTTATGAGAGGTGAGAAATGACAATTTAAACAACTGGAGATGTTTGGAATTTTTTTAAGGGTGGCAAATGACAATCTCGACAGCTTAGGTTCAATTTTTATTTATTTTTAAATGTGACAATCAACAATCCAAGCAACTCTTTTTCAAATTTTTTTAGAGGTGACAAATGATAAATCAAAAGATACATGCACCGCATATATACAAAAGAAATAAAAAATCTCACATATATGTAGTGCTGCCCCTGTTTGTGAAGTGGCTACCATATCCCCCTTTTTCCTAATTTGGCATGTTGTTATTGTGAATTAAAAAACTTGACAAAAATTTAGTGTGAATCACGAGCTCATGTAATAATGGAGGGATATCTATCCAATTTATTCAAGACTTTTATTTGTTCTCTATAATGTTGTAGCTTTTGCAATGCAGCTTGTCTTAGGAACATTGTTAGCCGCATTGGTGCCTGTTGTTGGTTTTAATGCGGTTATGACATCAGAACATTTTGCATCATTTTTGGTGAGTTCTGTACTAATAAATGACCCTATATTTGGCATTGCTTATGTCCATTTTGTTTACGTAAGGATTTAGTTTCATGGAACTATATATTGCTGTAATATGGGAGATGTTCTCAAAGTGGTGGTAAAAAAAACAATTGGGGGTTTTGTATGTTGTGGTTGAGCCGTTTCATGAAACAAACTATCTTTTTACGTGGATAGATTACGGTTTACAACGAGGAGGATAATGGAATGAGAAATAGCATCCTTGGTCATGAAACTAGTTTTATTGAGAAACAAATGGCTTTTGGAAGTAAATAAGAAATTTCAAAGTGGGTATTTAATGATGTGGATGCTTGACAAGCAAGGTAGTTGTTTCCTAGTAGTTTGTAGCAAGGACTTCTGATCTGTGAGTCTTTAAGAGGACTGTGATATTTGCAGTAGGCAATTGTGAGTTGATGATACTATGGATGGAGAGTTGGCATTGTGATTTACCAAACCAAACTAAGTTTTGTGTCCCATTCAAGTAGGGTTGGCTACTTGAATAATTTTTTTCATTTTTTCTCTATCAAGGGCTATTTGCTCAGTTTAATTAAATAAATACATATATTTGTTTATTGTTGCATCCCATGTCAACTTAGGCCTTCTTTCCCTCCCACTTGGTGTCCTAATAAAATTTTATTGGGTGAAAATCACAAACAAGACGTTTGACAAAAATACATGGACACCCTCTCACATTTCAATTATATCACGAACACCCCTCATGTTTGAAAGTTGTATTAACTAGACCCCAAATGCTTCTGATGCTACTAACACCAACTCTTTCTACTGATTTCAGCAAAAATAATTAAAAATATTCTGAAAATGCTTCTCTTTGTCTTTACCCCTTGTTAGTTAAATGAGGGGTGTATTTGTCATATCTTCTTGACTCAGGGGTGTCCATGATTTGCTCACTTATTCACAGTTTATGATGCATATTTGCTTGAAAGAAATGCTGATATTAATATTTGCTCGCTTGTCCAAACAGTGATTCTAAGAGCAGCAATAAACATTTAACAGAATCATTTATATTCAAAACAATTACTGTCAGCTCATTTGGATTCCATGTGGAACATCTTGCATACAGCTGCATTAACTCTATTGGATGCCCTAACAACTCATTTTCAATGACAATCACCATCTCCTTCACAATTGAGGATCTTTCATTGCCAAACTGAACATCAAAGACACTACACTTACACAAAATGAATGCACAGACTGTAAGAGCATTTCCTATTAAAAATCCAAATCAAATCCAATTAAAGATTCAAACATTGGGATAAGGAGCATCCAAATTTCATTCATATCATAAAATCACATTCGGTATATTATGAGCATCCTATTAACCAATAAACCTTAGAATTCAAAACAAAATAGCTTATATGCGCCAATAAAACAACAGGTTTCATACACCAAAACACCCAGATTTTGTGCTGAAAAAATTCAGAAGCCAAAATCAACTTCACTGATGCACTTCAAAAAAGAGGGTTTTGAGTGCTCTTTGTGGAACCTTGAAAGTCAGATGTTCTCAGTCGAACATCGAACAAAGAACTATGGGTGTTCGTCGTTGTAGGATCCTCTTTGTATAGTGGGGTTAGGGTTTGTATTGAAGATGGAAATGGATTATCAGACCATCGTTCATTGTTGTTAAATGAAAAGGAGAGATATTCTCAGAGATAAAATTGTTTGCTGTTCTTTGACCAGATATTTTCTTGACATTTATGGTCTTTTAATGTCTATAGGGTTATGGCTGATGCAACTTCCAAGTCTGAGGGGGTGTCTGATATATTTTAAATCAAAAATGCTAGAGGCCCCAAAAATTCTACCAAATATTTGACAAATGTCTCACATGGGAGTGGGTCGCTCACTCATATTTGGTAGAATTTTTGGTGTCCCTAGCATAACTCATTTTAAATGTGAGAGGGTGTCATGTATTTTTACCAAATGTGAAGGGGTTGTCCTTGATTTTTACCCAATTTTAGCAGTTCATTCCAAGGAATAAAATATGACACTTTTATAGAAGAAGATTGAGTTGAGATGAAAGAAAAAATTATCTAAGGAATGTGTCTTAAATTCAAATAGAGACGTTGTTAATCTGGTTTTGCCTAAGCCCTTTTTCCATACTACCACCTAGTTGGTAACCTGGCATGGGATTGGTTCGCCCAACCTAAATATGATGGGCTCAAGTCTGCTTGTTTTCTTGCATATCACCTTCATTTGAACTTTTGTTTTATTGTACTTTATGCCGTTGCGTAATCAAGTTATCTACTTCCTTTTTCCTGTTTGCATTTGTTCTTGATACTTATTTTCCATCTGCAGGTTTTCATTATTATCCATGTGGTGGCTCTTGTCTATTATATCAAAGGAATTCTCTCACCAAAAATGTTTAAAGTAGCTGTTACCCTTGTTATATTTGTTGGCCTGTACGCTTCCGTTGGCTCCAGTTTCTTCAAAACCTGTTCAAAGAACTATAAAATTACTATTGATATTGACACTCACCTACTCAGGAATGTTCTTTTTTGACTTACTATATGTATTTATGATTCTACTATTCAGGTTTGTCTGTGGTGCTGTAATAGCCGTACTGATAGCATTGGTAGCTTCTAGCCCAACAAAGGGATGGAGTGGACGAAGTCTCAGTCTGCTTGATCCGTAAGTAACTTATCTTACAATTTATGCCATTACCTTGTATGGCTGGTTATTTCAGTCTTCTGAAGAGGTAGTAAGGGAACTTAAAATGATTTTGAAAAATAGGAGGGAAACAAGTTATCTTCAGATGTCACGACCGCATTCTGTGTTGGTTTGGTTTGGTGGTATTCATTTGTTCTGCACTACATATGCTTAGAATCAATACAAGATCTTGCTCTGTTCTTGGTTGTATGCTGCTGAACTGAACCAACTTGAGAATTGATTGGTCCTTGAAACGTATTCATTGAGAAGGACTTCTCTTCTCCGCTGGCTTTTCCCTACCAACCTTTATAAAGTGGATAACCTGCTCCCCTTCGTTACATGAGGGTGCCTTACTCTTGGACTTTGGACTTTTATGTTGGTCAGTGATTAGGCTTGACTGATAACTTTGTAGTTGATTGATGACATGTTCAACTTTTGAAGTATTAATATTTAGGTAATTCTAACTGCCAATACTTGTTTGATATTCAGGTTACCATAGGATACCATGGTGTTTGGTTACAGCCAACTCAGTTTGGTTTTAACCTGGGTGAATGCAGTTTTTGCTCGGTTGCAGTGATAGTTCTATGTGAGATGTGAAATTGTTTTTCAGGTTCATTGATTGATTATAGGTTTGATGGTGATTTCAGGAACTTAAGAATGTAGATTTTTTAATTTTTAATTTCTTTTAATTTTATTTTTCTTGTTCTGTTTGTTTTTTGTGTTTGTTTTGTTTTCTTAAATCTCAATGCTTGTGGTACTATTGGAAATGCTTTAAGTTAATTTTTATTTTGTTCTCTTTTGAATGAGAGAATATTGATTATGCTGAACCAAAAAGGAAGCTATCACACTTACAATACTTTTTGCCATCAGATCTGTTTCTAGTTGTCCTGGCGTTCTCTGACATTTTTCCTCCTATGAATTGTGACAGAACTTATGCAAGCAAGTATATACCAATTATTGCTAGTGTTAGTGAACATCAACCACCTACTTGGCCTTCGTACTTTATGGACATCAACGTTTTGGCATTCTTGGTTCCAGCTGGCATTATTGTAAGTTCTGGATGGTCGACTCAACTTTTTTCTTGTGGCTGTCTGTGTCCTTTTCCATTCTTAAATTTATTGTTTACTGTGAAGTTTTGAACTGCTCACCTTTACGCCATTGTTTCTTTTGTTTGCCATTGACAGGCTTGCTTTTTGCCACTATCTGATGCAAGCTTCTTTGTGGTTCTTTACATAGCAACATCAGTATATTTTTCTGGAGTCATGGTAAGGACAATTTGCTCCATCCAACTCCACCTTGTTTTCTTTGATTTCATTCTTGGTCATCATTGTGTTTTGGGTTGACATTACAGGTGCGTCTAATGCTTGTACTTGCTCCAGCAGCATGCATAACATCTGGAATTGCTCTTTCTGCAGCTTTTGATGTTCTTACACGTTCAATCAAATTTCAGTTACCTGGATTATCAGAAAATTCCCAGATTGATGTAATTATGTTATAATCTTTCTGTGTATTATGACATTCTTCTAACTACTCTCAGTAAAAATTCAGCTTCTGAACTAATATTGGTCTCATGGTGCTGGCTACGAAGGCAGGGGATGCCATTTCTGGTAGAGATGTCACACAAAATGAACCGATGACGACTGAGAAAAATGAAGATCTGGCAAAGCGGCCTTTGAAAAAATTTGACAAAAATGAAGATTCGTCAAAGGAACAACCTTCTAAAAGGAACAAGAAGGAAAAGGACAATGTGAAGAATATTTCTGCCAAGTCTCAGATGGAAAAGAGGCTTCTGGTTTTGCCTTCGGAAGCATCTGCTATTGCTATTTTTTTGCTTGTGTTGCTGGGTGCCTTTTATGTGGTATGTACACTTTCTTCATTTCCTCAATGAATCATAATTGCATGTTGTCTTTTTCTAGCATAGAGAGTTACTATGTTACATAGTTGACTGATTTATGCTGTTATGCTAATTTGCTTTGCCCTTTGACCATCATCATGGAAGAGGGATACATTCATTTTTTATCATCCTTGTCCACCTTATGATTGATTTCAAGAATATTATAGATGATACCTTCAACTTCTCTGAAAGTCCTTCTGCATGGGATAAAAATGCCTTTAATTCTTATTTGACTGTTGTATAGGCTAAAAACCTCCCTTTTGACTATTTTGTATCGTTGGATCTCTAGGGAGTAAAACTTAACCTAGAAATTTTGGAATTTGTTGAGAACTAGGAGATTTGAGGTGTGTATATAGTGTCGTCTCCTTGATGTACATGGGCAACATCCTCTTTTGATGCTCTCCTTAATAAATTGTCAAAAAAGAGAAAAAGAAAAAGAAGATATGATGCCTTTAGGCCTCATTTAGTTGTCAGGAAAAGAAAGTGAAGTACTGGAAAATCAACTTTCTCATGACTTTTTCTATGTTCAGTTAGCAAAAAGTTGTGGGACCCATATTTTTAACTTTCCCACTAGGATAAGGTTTCCCTCAAAACATGTTTTGCAAAATATACAAGATTTTGAATGAATCTCAATTGTTCACCTTTTTTGTCCTGACAAACGAATACATACGGAAAAACAAGTTTCCCTTTACTACACTTTTCTTCAGAACAACTCTCTCACACAAAATTCATGACAACTGAGCAGAGCCTTAAAGTCTAAACTACTTGTATACCAGACTTCTATCTATACAAGATATGGAAGCCCGTAGGAAAGAAAATTTATTTGAAAGGATAAGAAATTGTTAGTGCATGGATCACTCTTGCTATCTGGCAGGCCATGGGTGCGACATCATCTCCCACCTTAGGGTCTTCACCCTCCACATAGCAAGCCCTCAAGGTTGCTGTGATATCTCCTAAACAAATCATTGGGGTTAATTATGTGCCTAGACTAAATGGGGGCACACCATCCACCAAATATGGTGTATTGACTCATAAGTGTGCCTAATACGTTAGTTGCAGGCTGATGCACCTAGTGAATGAGTCAAAGTATGGGATGCCTCGAGGCATGGCCTAGGGGACTACTAGGTCAAGCTGAACCACCCTTGCTTGACCATCCTTCTCAAAAATATTGTGGCTTGGCACCCTATAACTCAGCTAGGATAATCTCTCGCCAGGCCATGACCCTTTGTAACTCATTCCTATAGGCTCCGTTCAGTTATCAAGAAATTTGTGTTAGAAAATTGTTCCAAGGAAATGTTCCCAGAAAATTTGTAGTAAACTAAAGTAAAGGAAAAGGAAACTTGTTTTCCATATGTGTTCATTTGTTAGGAAAATGGAAGTGTATTGTTGAGATTCTTGCAAAATCTGGTATTTTTTGTCGGCCATGTTTTGAAGGAAAATTATCCTAGTGGGAAAGTTAAAGATATAGGTCCCACAACTTTCTTGCTAACTGAACATGAAAAAATTATGGGAAAGTTAATTTTCCTAGACCTTACTTTCTTTTCCTAACAAGTGAACGGTGCCATAGGGTATCCCAAGGGTTTCCAGGAGTACTGCCTGGCCAGACTGATGTACCTATGCTCAGCCACTCCCATTTGGTAGCCTATGTCTTTCTTTCACCCTGTAGTTGGGACTTCTATATACCATTACTATTATTATTATCACTGCCTTGGCATTCTAGGCCTAGACATTCATCACTTGGGATCGTTGGAGGATTAAGGCTTGAAGGTTAGGACCAAGGGCTTGTCAAGGTTCTTGGCTCGTTCCCCTTAGTGAGAAACTCCTCCTTGATCGGTCAGAGAGAGAGAGAGAGAAAGAGAGAGAGTCGTGCTAACTCGAAGTATCATACCTACCACTTCACATGATGCCGTGATACACACCCTCTGAGGTGTCATACCTAGCATGCAACTTTTATGATACAAACCCCAAGGTCTGAATCATTGGACACAGGTAGACTTGATACCTCTACTCTGTCAGGCAAGGGGAGTTAGCCACGGGTCCACATATGAGCTAGCCTCCAACGGTCTAAGACCTTACAAACGGATATCCATACAATTTGATCAACATCTTCATTCTCTTGCTCAATTTCCCTATATGTTGTCCAAAAATAAAAAAATAAAAATTATTAAAAAAGAAAATGTAAATTTTTATTTTTTTTTTGGTCAGAGACTCAAAGCTTCAAATATGTTGGAAATGGCTGTTCACATTCAATGACATTATATCCAAAATTTATTTGCTAGTATGTTGTTGATTATTTCCAAATCATATGATGACATGAGCCCTAGGAATTTTAACAAAACTGATTCTATGAAAGTACTCCTAATCCTATGAAGCATGGGTACTCCAAAAATGTTGCCGTATAAGTACCGGGTACGGGTACCGGGTACACCAAAAACGCACCGGGTACGTTTTATACAATTAGTATAATGATGGGTAAGCGATGGGTACGCGATGGGTACGCTTTTGGGTACCCCGGGGTAAAAAAACAAGATTTTCTACAATTTAAAGGGTACCGGAGCAATTTTTTTGTCTATTTTAAAAAATTATATAAATTTGGGATTCTTTTGTAATAAATAAAAATTGAAAAAAATTAAAATTAGGGTTCTATTTGATTATCTCCTTCGCAGAAATACAAAGATTCCCAAGAGAGAAACGGTTGCCTATTGAAGAACTTCTTCAAGGGTGCTGATTCCAGTAAGTTTATCTTCGATTCTTCCTCCTCTTCTTCTTTGATTCTTCCTCTTTCTTTCATTTTTTTCTTCCAGATTTTTGTTCTCTTTCTTCGCAACAAACAAAGAACGAAGAGGCCCTTTTTTTTTCCCATCGTTTTTCTTCGATTCTTCTTCCTCTTTTTTTCATTTTTTTTTTTTTTTTTTTTTTTTTTTTTTTTTTTTTTTTCAGATTTTTGTTCAGTTTCTTTGTAGCAAACAAAAAACGAAGAGGCTTTTTTTTTCCCATCATTTTTCTTCGATTCTTCTTCTTCCTCTTTTTCATTTTTTTTTTTCCAGATTTTTGTTCTCTTTCTTGGCAGCAAACGAAGAACAAAGAGGTCTTTTTTTTTCTTTGTTCTTCGATTCTTCTTCCTCTTTCTTTCATTTATTTTTAGATTTTTTTTTCTTTCTTCGCAACAAACAAATTGATTTGTTCTGTCCTCATGTTTTTTTTCCCCCCTTTGTTTTTTTGATTCGATTCTTTCCTCTTTGATTTTCTCTTTCTTTGATCCTTCTTCTTCCTTTTTCTTGAACTCTCCTTCATTTTTTTTTCTTGATATATATATATATATATATATATTATTTTTTATATTTTTTTCCCCACAGTCACTGGAATTTCATGCAACTTGCAAGTCTAGAGCCTTCTCTGTAGTCATCTTCAAAAAAAAAAAAAAAAGTAATGTAAAATGACCCCTCTGTTATTTAACTTTGCCCTCTTCTTATTGTCGTAGATTGTAGTAGATTTACTTTAGTCTATGAAGCATGGACACTCCAAAATCAGTGTTGTGGCGGTATCCGGCACAGGGACACGCCGAGGACACGGGAACACGTACAGAACATGCCAAATGGCGTGTCCCTTTAATTTAATGATTTTTTTGTAGGGACACGGCAGGGCTAATTTTTTTTTTTTTTTTGCCTCTCTTATTTAGTGCTTTTGTGAAAAATATTGTTGGATGTTGAATGTTTTTCCCTTCTCGTCTTAGTTCTTATTATCGTTTATTATGATTTTGTTGTGAATGAATGATCTATTAATTTGTTTAAATGTAGTGGTTATATTTATTGAATTAATGTTACTATGTTAGTGTTTGTTAATTTTGATTTAGGATGAATGTAATATAAATCTACACAACACATAAAAATATATAAAAATAAATAAAATAAAATTCGCCGTGTTACCCGCCATGTCCATGTCCCCATTTTTTAGAAATTGCCGTGTCCGTGTCCGTGTCCATGCTTCATAGACTTTAGTATTGGTATTGTTGAAGAATGATTTACCTTTTTTTTTTTTTTTGAAAAAAATTGGCGTACCCCAGTCGTACCTATACCCTACTTTTTTTAAAAATTTCCGTATCAGCGCACCGCGCACCCGCACCCGCACCCGCACCCGTGCTTCATTGTCCTAATCTAAAATCCAAGATATCGCTTCTTCTTTGAAAATGCTTGATCTGAATTCTGGATGCTCTTGAAGTCACTGTGACATCAAAGTTGGTGCAAGTATTAGATGACTACTTTTTGCATGCATGTTTATAAGGCCTGCAATTTTATGGCTTTAATTCATGTTGTTGAAGCCCATTCCTTTCCCCAGCCCTCTGAAAATGTAATTTAATGATTAAAGTGAACAGAAAGTTTGTGAATTTGAAAAGCCTAGTTGCATTTAGTTTACCTGTGATAATTGGTGATTGAGATAAAAATGAATTGCTTTTACTGGGTTTTGGGCATACCTTTAACTATATTTTCTCAGAACTAGTTTACTTATTGTTATTAAGAATATGGCATTTTGACTTTTCTGTGCTGTTATCAAGTTGAGTGGCCGTTGAATGTGCACCGAGCATATCATCTATCCTTCTGATGAATCCCCTTGCACTCTTTCTTTCTTTAAACATGAAGTGCCTATGAAACTATTCTCTCTCTGTTATTTCCCTCTAATGGAACATATTGCTGTGCAAACACAATTTTTTGTGTTAACCTTACCATTTTTTAGTGAACCAATTCTTACCAATTATACACCTTAGTTGGTACACCATAGGTAGTCGAAATTTTTTAGTTCACTTGTATTCTCTATTTTGTTAAATAGGAGGATATTATTATCATTTTTCTTATCCGGTCTTTTCTTGATTTTTGGCATTCTTTCCCTGATACCTTTAAATGTAACCGAGATATCTCCTTGAAGGTTCATTCTGTCTGGGCAGCAGCAGAAGCTTATTCAGCCCCTTCTATTGTTATAACATCTTATTCTCAGAGTGGGCTTCATGTGTTTGATGATTTTCGAGAGGCTTATGCATGGTTGAGCCACAACACTGAGGTGGATGATAAAGTAAGTCCATTCTATGCCTAGTTTATCCCTTACAGCATATATGCTTTGTTATTCTATGTTTGTTTTACTAAATATTTATTCTCGTTAGTTTCATGGTGACACCATTGTTTGAAAGTGCTGTTGCTCTATGACCTTTTTCATTTCTTGGTGTCTTTTCATTGTTATCAATAAAGTTGTTAGTGAAAAGTACAAGGGTTAAAAATAGAGATTCACAGAAAATAATACTTTGCAGGCTGCGATGACAATTGTATTCACCCATTTGGAGAAAAGCAATCAAATATTGTCTTCAAGAAACTTTATAACCAATGCATAAGTTCAGCATGCTCTCTTGCCTGAGTTGATAGTATAAAGAATGGGTTAAATTTCATTTGAATTTGCTGAATTTATGCAACAGGTTTTATATGTTTTACTATGATACTAAATTCTGGTATCTTAACAAAATGAATATATGTATATATTTTTGGTAGGTAAATGAAGATATTTATGTTAACTGTTTCTTTGTATTAACTTCTTTCAGGTTGCATCTTGGTGGGACTACGGTTATCAAACAACTGCTATGGCTAACCGTACTGTCATTGTTGACAATAATACTTGGAATAACACGCATATTGCTACTGTTGGTACTGCGATGTCGTCTCCTGAAAAGGCAGCTTGGGAGATTTTCAACTCCTTGGATGTGAAATATGTTCTGGTTGTATTTGGAGGTTGGTTTTCTAATGTTGCTAAGATTATCTTACTTTGGGGAAACAAAACAATATTCTGAAGTTTGACTTTACAGGTCTTATTGGCTATCCGAGTGACGATATCAATAAGTTCCTGTGGATGGTTCGTATAGGTGGTGGTGTATTCCCTCACATCAAGGAACCTGATTATCTGGTAAGTAGTTATTTTTGTCAGTTTAATTTCTGATAGGAATTTGTGGTATTCCAATTGATGATGCTATGTTGCCACACCAGGTAATGATCTTTGAATGTGTTTGAGATGTACAAATCAGTAATTAGAAATTCACTGCATATAGTGGAATACTATGTATTATGCTACAATGTCATGCTTACATAACAAATATTTATACAATTGTGCACCAAGCAAGATTAAAATAATTCGTTATCTAAACTATTTGGGGTCAGTCATAAATATATTGGTCCCCCATCCAGCTCTACCCAGGGCGATAACTTCAGTCAAACTGCACCTAGTAAAATTTTCTTTCTATTTCAATCATTGCTAATTTTGATCTTCTTCCCTACCATTAGCTGCCTTCTTTGGAGCAGTTGTCAGCAAGGTTTCAAATTGTGGAATTGGCTTTGCTTATTGGTTGCGGTCATTGTGCAACGATATTGGGAGCATCAGTCAATGTGTGAAGGGAATCAGAAACTAAACTCATGAGATTTTTTCAAGCACATTTTTAACGCTAAAAAACTTGTTGATAAGTATTTTATGATCCAATTTATCAAAATTTGAATGTTTGTAATGGTTTTAATCAATGATGTGCACCTAAGAACATGTTTTCTAAATGTTATTGAATTTTAGGTTGGTTTTAAGGCTTAAAAAGTGGAGAATTTCATCTAGTAGGGAATTGCACTATCTAGAGTATTTACAAATGCTAGTAGAATAGATTAGATAATTCATAAAAATATAGTAATTGTAAGTCAATATTTGTTGTTACAATGGTAATACGAGAAATATGACAACACTAGTGGCTAATATAAGGTATGCTATATGTATTACCTCATTGATTCATGAGTTTACACGTAAAACAAATGACGTATATGACTCTTAATTGTTTGAATTAGTAGATTACCATTTAAAATTCATAGTTTTGATTTTAAATCGATAAGTTAGTAATATAGATTAATGAAATTAGGATTTTCAATTAAAGAATATGAAAATGAAGAATTTAAAAAAAGGAAAATAATTGAAAATAAAAGAATAATTTGAGTGTTAATGTTTAAGGAAGAATAAGAGATTTTCAATTTAGAGTTTTACTTTTAAACATTTTTAATGACTTAACAGAGGTAAAATTGAATATCGTACCATAACAGTGACGTAATGGCTTGTAATCTGCAGTTGTGTGCAGCCTTGACTTTTTTTGTTATGGAGCTCCAAAATCCCTTTATGTAACAGCTATTACATAATGTAGCGGCCGTTTTTTAAACTCATGGTTGTCCATCTTTATTGCACAGAGCCAAAGCTTTCTGGTTAATTCTGGTTTATGGCTTCGAGTTTGATATATAATGTCATGAGAACTGATTTGTTTACATTAGAAACAACCCTTGCATTGTATCCTCTTGTTTAGAGATTGAAAAACTAGAGCAAGTGATTGAATGTTTCCTCTTGGTTTGCGTCTAAGCTTTGTTGTATGTCTTTTCTTTATTTGGTGGTAATAAAAGCTTACTTACCAAAAAAAAAAAAAAAAAAGAATGTTACAGATTACTTGACAAAAGTCTATGATATGGATAAATTAAAACGTAGAAAATGATACATCGTTTATTTTTCAGATTTAAAAATTGAAGTATTGTCATGTTGACAAAAGTTCAAAACCTATTGCATATTTTTGCATGTCATTTGTTATTCTCCAATCATGAAACACTTGGTTCTCTGTTTTCTTTAGACATGCATGTCTATTACTTATTATTTTTTTTATACATGATTAGGTTCATGTATGCCTGTGCTTAGGTATATCTTATCTTTTGTGAATTTGTTTTATCTTATCATCTTTTGTTTTAGTATGGCCGAAAAAATATGATATATATATATATTGTAGATTTCTTTTCTTTCTTTCTTTTTTTTAATTTATTTATTTGGTTTATTGATAATATGAGATTTTAACGTATTTGTACCTCATTTGTCTTTTGAAAAGAGAGATGGTCAGTACCGGATTGATTCCCAAGCCACTCCAACCATGCTAAATTGCCTCATGTACAAACTCACATATTTCAGGTGCGCCGTAGCAATGAACTTGCTTCATTTATTTGTGGAAGTTGTGTTTATTTTGGCCGTCCAGATTTTTACTTGACGTTGTCTATTTTATCATAGATTTGTTGAGATAGATGGTAAAGGCTTTGATAGAGTAAGGCAGACTGAAATAGGGAAGAAACACTTTAGGCTTTCCCATTTTGAGGAGGTAAGATAATCGAAACACCAAATGTGTGGAAATTTAGGAATTGATTAGCTGTGGATCTTTTGATTGTCTTTTGAGATTTTCTGCATCAGCTAAGCAAGAAATTAGTTTTGTCTTGTTTGTTATAAATTAGTTTTTATGGTTTATGTTCATTCATTCCAGGCATTCACAACTCACCATTGGATGGTTCGGATATACAAGCTAAAACCTCTGAAGAACAGGATCCAAGGAAAGACAAAGAAATCTAAAGCGGTACATAGAAGAGAAGCGAAGATTCCTCTATAGTTTTGTTCCATGTATATCTTGAGATTCGATCTGCTACTATATTGACTTGTATGTTATTATTCTTTGTTTTAGCAGAAAACTAGCTCAACAACTACCTCAAAGAGAAGCGGATCAAGAAAGAACCCTTGGCACTAAAACAGCAAATTTATAAGATCCTACATTAGGTCAAAGAGAAGGATTGTGAGGGCAAAGTTGGCAATCTTTCTTGCCGAAATGACAATGATCGATCAAAGATTTTGTAGCTCATGTTCGATCTCGTACTTTCTTCTCCATTTATGTTCCACTGTTTCCCAAAGAGCATTATCAAAGCGATTTTGGACCAGTTAACTTGCTGGTATAGATGTAAAAGTAATGCATATTCCTAGAGCAGGGGATTAGGGATAGCTTTAGTTAGAAATGAATTATGTAATTCATGATTGCATGATGAGTTGATGCCCTAGTTTTGATTATTATTATTATATTGTGGTTATCAAATTTTGACACAGAGAGAGCGGCTGAAACTTTGCTTTCTTAAACTAATGTATTGCCCTTTAAAAAAATCTGAAAAATTAGAAAAACAAGAAAATTAGTTAAATTATGGGTAGTAGATAATATATATTATATTAATAATAAGTTTTCTTCAAATTTAATCCAGATAGATAAATATGAGAGACTCTTGCATTACATTTCGGGTTATTTACATCAAGATCTCCTAAGTTATTAGTGAATATTATTTTACCCCTCTTATTTATAAATCATACATTTTGATCCTTTCAATTATAAAAATGTATCAATTTCACTCTCCGTAGACCCCTCGAGACTACCTTAAGAAGATATGTATTTGTATAATTTTTATAGTTGAGAAGATCAATATGTACAAATTCATAAATGATGAGTAAAATGATATTTAGAGAGTATTTGTGATGATATGAAAAAATGTGTAAAAAATTAAAGAAGACGTAAATAAGTACCCTTATCTAAATAAGTGTACTTACATAAATTACGCTGAATACCCTCTTACTAATAATTGAAGGTTCTAGTGTAATTGACTCTTACATTTCTACCCATACCGTTACTTAACTGTTAGTTAGTTGGATGAAATTTGTTAATGTCATCAAATTTTAAATAAAAATATAAATTTTACCATTTAAAACAATTTTTAACGATAATAATTAAAAGTTAGGAAAAATAAATAAATAAATTGTGAGAAAATAAAATAAATAGAAAACAAGTCATCCCTGCCTACCAACCGCTACACCCCACTCCATCCATCCCAAACCAATTTTCTACCCAAAACAAAAGGCTACCCATCTCACAACAATCCTCTACTCTACTGATTGGCTCGACAGTGGCTATGATTGTTTGATTGGGTTCTTCAACACTGTATTGGGGGTGCGTTGAGGAAGAGTTTTTTTTTTTCTTGAGGTGAGGGGGGATATGGGTTTCCAACGAAATAGAGAGAGGGCAATGAGAATTGGAGATTAATAGTGGGATGGGATTGTCTTAGTTGTGATTGCTTTGCTCTATTCGACGGTGGCTAAGGGGCACTGTGTGTGTCGGGACAAAGGGGTATGCGGATATAGTTTTTAACTGGTATGCAAAGGAGTTGTTTGATGAAATGTCTGAGAGAGGGAGAGAAAGTGACTTACAACCAAAGAAACAGAAAGAGGCCAAGGAGAATTGGAGATTGGTGGATGGATTGTCTTGGTTTTGGGAAAGAAAGAGAAGAGTGGCGATTGTGGGGATAAAGGGGTATGCAGATATTCTTGTTAACTGGACTGGTATGCAAAGGAGTTGTTTGATGTAATGTCTGAGATAGGGACAGAAAGTGAGTTGTCCGGAATGATCTGGATGATATTTTTGTCATTTCATGTCAGTCCTTAGCAGAGTTAAGTTTTGAAACCCGTGAGGGAAAGTTGGTGTCATTTTATCATGTTAATGGGTCTGGTGTAATTTTGGTGATAGTCACGAGAGGTCGGTATAATTTACCAAATTTGAAATTACACGGTTCAAGTCTTGAAAAAATTTCAGGCTATACTTAGGTTGCTCGGACTAGGTCTAACGGGTACAGGATAATAAGGCAAGTTAAGCGCCAAAATGTACTATTACATAAAACTACAATTCAAATTCAATAGTGGGAACAGAAAATGAACAGCAAGCACAAGCTTCGCGAAGCCGTAGACTTGCTATACTTTCGTGGCTGTGCAAGTTCTGAAACATACACTCGTTTTGTTCTCACATGTGTTCGATACAATGACATTGAACAAGCCAAGAGACTGCAGTATCACATGGACCTTCACTTGTATCGACCCACCAACACGTTCGTCCACAATCGTCTCCTTCAACTCTATTCCAAATCTGGCTTTCTCTCTGATGCTCAAAATCTTTTTGACAAAATGGCCACTAGGGATATATTTTCGTATAATGCTATGCTGTCTGCGTACTCCAAGTTAGGTTTGGTTGATCATTTGTGGGTGTTCTTTAATCGAATGCCTTATTGTGATTCAGTTTCTTATAATACAGTGATTGCAGGCTTGGCTGCAAGTGGGTGTTCGAGCAAGGCTTTGGAGGTTTTTATTAGAATGCAAAAGGATGGATTTGAGCCCAATGAATACACCCATGTGAGTGCATTGAATGCATGTTCCCGCATGTTGGATTTGAAGCATGGGAAACAAATTCACGGGAGAATTGTTGCTTCTAATTTGGAACAGAATGTTTATGTTTGGAATGCTTTGACTGATATTTATGCAAAGTGTGGTGAGATTCATGAGGCAAGGTGGTTGTTTGACCAGATGGTTGACAAGAATGTGGTTTCTTGGAATTCAATAATTTCAGGTTATTTGAAAAATGGGCAGCCTGAGAAATGCATTGATTTGTTCCATGAAATGCAGCTTTCAGGTTTAAAGCCAGATGAGGTCACTGTTTCAAATGTTCTCAGTGCTTTCTTTCAAAGTGGATACATAGATGAAGCGCAAAAAACTTTTAGTGAGCTCAAGAAGAAGGATAAGATTTGTTGGACCACAATGATAGTGGGTTATGTACAAAGTGGAAAAGAAGAGGATGCTTTGAGGTTATTTGGTCAGATGCTGCAAGAAAATGTCAAACCAGACAGTTTTACCATCTCAAGTGTGGCTAGTTCTTGTGCCCGACTAGCCTCTTTGTGTCATGGTCAGGTGATTCATGGAAAAGCAGTACATATGGGAGCAGATGGTGATTTGCTTGTTTCAAGTGCCCTTGTCGACATGTATTCTAAATGTGGAGAAACTAAAGATGCTTGGGCTGTTTTTAGTATGATGCCTATAAAGAATGTCATTTCTTGGAATTCCATTGTAGTCGGTTATGCACAAAACGGAAAAGATCTAGATGCTCTGGCCCTCTATGAGAAAATGCTGCAAGAGAACTTAAAACCAGATAATGTTACTTTTGTGGGAGTTCTGTCTGCTTGTGTCCATGCTGGTTTGATTGAAAGGGGACAAGATTACTTCAATTCCATAAGCGAGTTGCATGGAATGACACCAACTTTGGATCATTATGCGTGTATGATCAATCTCCTTGGTCGTTCAGGTCACATGGATAAAGCAATAGATCTAATAAAGTATATGCCACATGAGCCAAATAGTCTAATTTGGTCTAATCTTTTGTTTGTTTGTACAATTAACGGTAACGTTGAACACGGAGAGATGGCAGTGAGGCGACTCTTTGAATTGGATCCACTAAATGCGGGACCGTACATCGTGCTGTCCAACGTGTACGCTGCAAGGGGAAGATGGAAAGATGTGGCATCCATGAGAACTCTTATGAAGAACCAGAACGTTAAAAAGTTTGCTGCTTATAGTTGGATTGAGATTGATGGTGAGATCTATAAGTTTGTATCAGAAGATAGAAGTCATGCTGAATCAGAAAAGATTTATCAAGAATTGAACAGATTGATAAGAAAGCTACAGGATTCTGGATTTACTCCCCAAACAAATTTGGTGTTACATGATGTGAATGAGGATGAGAAATTGAAATCCATCTGTTACCATAGCGAGAAACTTGCTCTTGCATTTGGGTTGATAAGAAAGCCTCATGGAGGGGCACCTATCAGGATTATAAAGAACATCCGAGTTTGTGCTGACTGTCATGAGTTTATGAAGTTTGTATCCAAGATTAATGGACGACCTATCATCTTGAGAGATTCAAACAGGTTCCATCATTTTTTTGGTGGACAGTGCTCTTGCAGTGACCTCTGGTGATGACGTCCTGTGAAGACTTTGGAATTTTTATGAGCTTAAAAATGAGATAGATCTCAAGGAGTAGGAAGAGCTTTCTTTCTGGAGAACAAATCAAACGACAAAGAAACGCCACTACCCTAAATACCGAAGTATAGTTTAAACTGTATTCTGAAATGGTAAATAGTTATAAATTCTTGTTTCTTGGTTTTGCTGCTTGTGTATATCTCGTTCCTTCGACAGAGTAACAACTGAATGGAGATTATGATCACCATCACACAGCTGCCTCAGAGTAAAGAGCAGTTGATATCAGAGCTCTTAATGGGTGCAAGAACATGAAATATCATAAAATGATATCACGGTAAGATCTTTGGACAACTTTTTTTAAAATTTATTTTTGTTTTCTAACGAGGATATTTGAGGCTTTGTCCCAACTAGTCCCCAAGATAAAAGCAGTCCTCCCATCCTACACATACCTGGGTATTTACCAGGCACGAGCCCTAGGAGTAGCCCCAAGGGGATCAAGAGATATTTGGAGGATTGATTCTCATATTGAGGGTTGTACTCTTTGCTGTACATCTTGAACAATGTTTCTTTTCTGACAGAACCAGTTAGAGACCATTTAGCTGTTGGTTCAATCAATGATTATGCTCATTGGTTGCTAGTTGCCACTAATAATGAATCAATGTCTGTTGGATTCTGTTTCTTTTCAGCCACGGTGCATGGTCTAATGTAGTCTCAGTTATTTCCAAAATACACTGTTTAGTTTGCCCCGTGTCTCTTCCCAAAAATGGCGTACCAATGCTAAATTTTGACATACTACTGAACTCAAAATATTGAAACTTGGCAACCTTGCTCCAATGTGGGTAACGCTGTTTCTTGCATTTTCTTCACAAAAAACCTAGTACAAATGATATTTGTAGGCTCCATCATAAAGTGAGAGATAGAATGAAGAGTTGCCAAATTTGGCAATATGGCACTCAAGATGCTATATTATAGCAATGACCGCTGCTATAGCAGTTTCATTAGGGAATCTCTTAGGGCTAGAAACGAGCTGAGCTTTGTGGTGTTTGAGCTTGGCTCGTTGAAATTTAATTGAGCTTGAGCTTGAGCTCAAGTCACGCCTATGCTTGTTTATCTAGTATATGAGAAACTTGAGCTGGCCTTAGTCAACTAGATTACATAAGTGAGGAGTGCTTAGGCTTGAGCTTAGAAAGAAAAATCAAACTTAAACTAACATGCACATTTAAGGAAAAAGAAAAAGAAAAAAATAGGAGAATATTATGAACAAAAATATAAAAGAATACCCATACTATTAATAAAATTCATCATTTAAACATGTACATTTGCACAAACACCAAACATTAAAAATAATAAAAAATAAAAATAATTGATATGTTATTCAAATAAAAATTAATTTATATATGCTTATTTGAGCCAAAGTAGCACTACTTGAACTTGGCTGGATTACTAAACTATGTTAAAACGAGCTTTAACACCTATCTTTGATTTCTAAAACTGATGGATTTATTGAATCTGTATAGAATCTAGATAACATTTTTGGATCATGCTTCTGGCTGTTGGATCCATCTTTTTCAAGGCTAGTTAGTGCCATTTATTTCTACATAAATGAATGAGCCTTTATTAGAATTTTTTCTTCTCTTTTCTTTTCTTTTCTTTCTTCCCATTAAATATTGACAGAAAGTTTGGACATTCTGGTCAAGAACTGAGGATTGTATTTGTGTTTGTGTTTTTTCTGGGCTAAACTGAGAAAATTTAGAAGAAGAAAATTCTGGATTTGTTTCAATCAACTGAATTGATCAATACATGGACATTGAAGACTATATCTATACCTATACACTGCTTAACCAATCCAACTAACTATCCATGTGGCACAACTGATTAACTAATCGCTAACCACTTGGAACTGAGCATGAGCTTAATTTTCGAGCTCAATAAACAAACAAGCTGAACTCAAGCCTCATAAAGCTTGGTTCTGTTCAACTCGTATGCAGTCTTATTTTTCGGCTCTGTTTGGTTTGGACTGAACAATTCACTTTTGACCATTGAATTTTTCTCCAAAAAAGCTTAACAATTGGAACAAAAATAAATAATAAAACTCACTCAAATTTTTCAACCAAAAATTATTATTTTTTTAATATTTGCTGAATGCACTATCTTTTTCAATAACAATTTTATCTTAAAAAAAAAACTCCTAAAAAAGTAAGTGAAATGCTACAAAAGAATGGTTAAAATTGTTACAATTTTAAAAGTTTGAGTTAAATTGAAACAATTTGAAAAAATAGAAGTTATCGTAGTATATAAGAAATTACATAATTAAAAAAAAAATCATGACAAAATGAGACAAAAAAAATACATAAATAGACAAATTTTATAAAATTTTCAGTACCTAATTCTACATTTCATTCATGTGTCCATGTAGTTAATAAAAAGTAAAAAATCCAAAACCTCACCATTCATCTAAAGAATAAGGCTTTCGATGCCTTTGTCATCACCTTTGCCAATGGTAGACAAATATCAGTGCATATCTGTACTCATTGGTCCTATTGTTGATGTACTGATTCATGCATTCACTACCTCACAAGAATATATGATTTTGTGCCTACAAAAATGCTATCATCCATGAAATTATATTTCATTTTTTTTATAAAAAAAAAAGTGGGTGTGTTATATAAAGTTAAATTTAATAAGATGTGAGTCATACTCATAGTGAATATAGACTATTAATTTTATTTTTTAGAGTAATTTTTAAAATAATTATTCTGGGTATATAACATTACCATTATGCATATATTTCAATCAATGATTTCCTCATGGCCTTGCATTTTGCATTTTCTTGAGATTTTAATTTCTTTTTTAACAATTTTTTTTTTTTTTACAGTCAATTAGGCTATCATTAGGATGATTTAATTTAAGAATTAATTACATTTTACTTCCTCAATTATCACTGAATATCATCTTGGTCCAGCTTCCTCTTCTGTTTGTGTGTTGTTTTTTCCATATAATAACTTGATTCCCACAATGTTTTCCCACTTAGATGTGTTTCGGTGCTGCTGGTCCAGCCCCCTTTGGAGCTGTTTGTTTTGTTTTCACCAGGGGGTGCTTGGTATAGGGGTCTATCAGAGTAGATGGTTGTCGGTTTTGGACCGGAATAAAGGTTGATCTAATCTGGGTAGGAGTTTCATTCGGGCGCTCCTGTGCGAGTGGGAGTTTGAGGGATGAATGTTGGTTCGGATCTATGGAGATGCTTCGATCCAGATCTAAGATCTAAGAGTTCAGATCTAGATCCAAATCTTCGATCCAGATCTAAGATTCCATTCGAGCGCTCCTTTTCGAGTTGGTGTTTGAGGGGTGTACTTCATCCAGTGGTATCCAGTGGGTGTGTTCGGAGTTTGGTTCGGAACATAGGTGTCCGACCATGGATTTGGAGTGGGTATGGGTATGGGTGTTGGTTCTGCAGTGGGTATGGGTGGCTCGGCTGGCAGTGTGTGTTAAAAGAGGTTGCTAGCATGGAGTTAAAAGATGGTTTCATAGGTTAGAAGGTTGGTGTACCGGGGTAGAGACGGAGCATTGTGGAGGATGATGATGGCGGCAGGAGCAAGGTGGTAGGTGAGTCCGCTAGGGGCAACAGCAGAGTGGAAGTAGGGGCTGTTGATGGTGAGTCAGCAGAGGTGTGGGCTTTGGGTGTGCGGCAGGCGTGAGTTTTGGCTGTGGTGGCGTGCGTGGATCTTGGCAGTGCAGCAGCATGGGAGTGCAGCAACATTGGGAGTTGGTTTGTTTAGTTTGGCTGTTTTGGAGTTGGTGTTTGGGTTCGGGTTGTGTGGGTTGATGTTGTGGGGGGTCTTTATTTTATTTTTATTTTTTTTGTTTTATAGTTAAGTTCTTCTTAACTTTCTTGTTTGAAAAAAAAAAAAAATTCGTGAGGCCAAGGGGTTGGTTGTATGGATGCGAGTAGCAGTAGTAGGGGTATTCTGTACTTTCCGAATCTCTCTCGATGCATGTCATCTGCCAGTACCTTTAATTTCATGCTGTTAATGAAATTTTTCTTTGCTGATCAAAAAAAAAATTAGGCTATCATTAGGATGATTTAATTTAAGAATTAATTACATTTTACTTCCTCAATTATCACTGAATATCATCTTGCTCTCTCAACACTTTAAAACAGTACATTCAGACTTTCAACTATCAAAAATCACACAAAAAAACTCGCTTCTGTATGAGGTGAAAGTGAAGCAACTTTGATGGTCAGTGAGTCTAAATATACAATTTTAAAGTTGTGAAAATTAAGATGATGTTCAATGATAGTTGAGTTGAGGGAATAAATATAATTAACCATTAATTTTAAAATGGAATTGAATTTTGATACATTAAAGTTGTATCTGGATCAACCCCAAGGGGTTTGCCTATTAGGTGTATCTTGGACCTTAGAAGAGTGCTGCTACCTCTAGATCTTAGGTTCAACTCCTATCTGGAGTAATCTGCTCCTTGAGACCACGCTCGCAGGCTTCAAGTTGTATCTGGATCTTGGATTAGTAAAAAAAAATTTGAATCTTAAATTTATAGAGAAATTTTTTTTAACTATTTACAATTTCAAAGTTGTGAAAATTAAGATGATATTCAATGATAGTTGAGGGAATAAATGTAATTAACCTTAATTTTAAAATGGAATTGAATTTTGATTCATTAAAGTTGTATTTGGATCTTGGATTAGTAAAAAAAAATTGAATCTTAAATTTATAGAGAAAAAAATTTAAACTATTTTTTTTTTTTTTTCTTTGGGTATCTTTTCTCTTCATTTTCAATTTTCCTCTATAAACCTAACATTTAAACATCGCCTAAAATTTGTCCAACTGTTTTGCTTTCAAATTCATTTATGTGCAAAAAATGTCAATACATAATTTTTTGATTTTTTTTTTTTTTTTAAGTCTAGTGTTTGAGTCAATTATTATACGCATCTCAAATAATTTTAACACCTTAAAATTAAGGACTAAATAAATCTCCAATACCCATAAACAATTTCCTGTCATTAGAATTCGATGTAAGTCAAATACCAAACAACAAAAAGTACTTTTTAAAAATCAAATCCATTCCTTTTCTTTATGCACTTGTATTTGACTCAAGTAAACCCAATTGGGTAAAAGTAATTATGTGCTTCACCCAATCAATAGGGATTTAGGAAGCTACTATGGCGGTGTTTGGAAAGATAATTTTTTGATTTTTTTATAGTTTTTTTTTATTAAAAGATAAATTAGTTTTAAAATTAAAAAAAATAAATTCAAATAAAATATCACATCAAATCCTATAATTATTTCACTTTTTCTCTCATAAATATCGCATCCAATCACAAAAAAATCCAATTATCTTTCCAAACAAAAAAAAAAAATTCTCCAATAATATTTTACAACTAAAAAAACCTCACTACTACAAAACAGATAAAGATCACACTTTTTTTTGCGTGATATATGTTATTTAATCACACCTTTTAAGTTTTATTAAAGTGTAATATTTGGAAGTATGATTAAAAGGGGTCATTTTTAATCACACTACTTAATAACATTTAGATTACACTTTTTAAGTGTGATTAAAAATATTTAGATCACCTTTTAAGTGTAATTAATAACATTTATATCACATCTTTTAAGTGTGATTAATAACTAATAAAACATGTGATAATAAACATTTAGATCATAGATTTTAAGTGTGATTAATATCTAATAAAATCTGTGATTAATAATCAAATAAGATCAC